CCAGTTTGAAAAAGCCATATTTAGGGGGTTGGTTTACATTGATGGACAATTTGCAGTTAGAAGTTTTGATGATGTGAATTTATTGGAAAGTCTGAATTTTTTATTTCCGTGAGTGTGTCAGAAGGAAGTTTTGTTTTTATTTTTTGTCAAGATTTATGGAAGGAAGCTTTTTTTTTTTTTCTTTCATATTTTACATGGTGGCTGGCTAACTAGCGGTTAAGCCCGTGAGCATATTAGTATCTGGTGTTTGTGAATAATGCTCATGCTTACAATCTTTCATTTGGGAATAATTTGAAATGACTGGGCTTGCAATTTCTTTTGATTGTTCTGTAGTGATTGAGTGGTGATGGGCTGCCTTCTTAGTTGGTATTGAATGAGTAATGACATGAGTACTTGCTATTTTCAGCGGTGATGCAAACAGATGGGTTTGAATACTTGAAGCAGAGCTGTCCTTCTGTACTCAGTGAGCTACTGCAATACGTAGCAAGAATGGGCGAGCATTCTGTCATTGCTTCCAGAAAAGGAAACGAGACCTTGCTAGATAACTGTGATGCCAATGGAAGACGGGTGAAGCAAAGGATACATTGATTTTGGGCACCAAAGACAGATAACAAGAAAGGGAGCTTGTTAGGCTTAAGAACATTTTTGTACTGTGCTAACAGTGACATTCTGTTATATAAATTTAATGAGTTCAAAGTTAGTGGATGATGTGGTTGTCCATTGTATAAATAGTTCCTTTAATATTGTTTCTAGACATTTCTGGATTCAGGTTCTTGCTTCTATGCAATCGAAAATTGTATCTGCTTGGTGGGATTGTCGATTTAGAAGGATCAAAGAATTGTTGTGATGCGGGTTCAGCAGAGTGACTAATATCTGAGGGTGTTTGGATTGGCTTACTTTTTGTGGTTAAATGTGTGTACAACTGCTTTACTTGTGTGATTTAATAAAAAAATTGGTGTTTGGATTACCTTGGTAAAAAGCTACAAAACTTTTAGCCAAAAAGGGGAATGGAAGTGTTTAAATACCTATCTTATTCCTTTGTGATTTTATTAGGTTGTTTAACTATATGATAAAATTGAAACTTTGAACTTAAATCTAGTCTAATGACCAAAGGAAATTTATTTATTTTTAAATTAAGATTTACTGAAGTGTGTGATATTTTGTGGGACAAGATTTATGTTATAGTTAAATTAAAAAGTTTTAGTTTAAAAGAGATTATCCTGAATTTTTTTTTGGGTTAAAATGCATTATATTTTTTAACTTAAAGATTTATGTTTTAACCAAAGTGTACCCAGAAACACTTTCTATCAGAAGATATATCAACCAAGACACTCTTTGACTTCTTGGAGCTTTAAGTTCAAAAAAAAAAAAAAAAAAAAAACTTTGAAATTTATTTTACCATTATTTTTTATTAGAACATAATTAAAAACAAAAAATCATACTTTGATAATCTTTAGATTAAGAATAAGTAATTATTATCCAAAACTAGATAACCTATATATTAAAGTCTAGACTAGAGAAAATTATTACTTCCAAACTCTCTGTTTAAATCACTAGGTAAAGTGTTAATGGCTCATGAAACTAGACATTTTATGCACATAAAACACAACAAAAATTCCCACTATTCTGTTGATACATATCTATATATCTTCAATACAAAAAATCAGTGGCGCATATACGACTCACATCTCTAATGCCTTCTAGGTTAATGCATTTTAATTGTAACTCAGTATATTATCCTGCAACATCAATTTCCAGCCTCTTAACATCAAATGCTAGCATTTAGCCAAATTGTAACTTACATTAATTCTCCTGGTCATTAAACTTGTTCATCTGAAAGGGAACAAAATAGAGGCACTTCAAATATTTCTTTAGGATACAACATTGGGGAAAAAAGGTAAAATAGCTCCTATTTTGTGAAGAACAAGGGAATAATTAGACTTTGCAAGTTCAATGAATTACTTGGCCCTTTCAACATTCGTGATCAGAGTGTCTTCCGGTACCCATCACTGATCCGGATCAGGAAGCAACGCGAGGACAACAGCAACTTCCAGGATGCGTTGCGTTCTTTCAAATTAGTGATATAAACAATTTGAAGCCAAAGTTCTCCAAGATAAGTAGCAAACTTAATTTTGTTTAAGCACCGCAATGATATATGGCACTGAGAAGATCTATAACTAGCATCCGATGGATCCCATTCGAGAGCTGCTCAAAATGGGATGTCGTGTAGTAGTAGTTGAATACCATGCCATTTGAGTCTGATTAAGCAAAATTCTCATGTGGTCAGTACCAGTGACTTCCAGATCCACCTTGTGCAGCAGCAACTTTCCTTACCACGTATTGAGACTTTGATTGCAATCCGTTGGGACCTTCAGCACCTTCGTTATCTCCCCTCTCATTTTTACAGGGTGGATTCCTTCTCGGATATGAAAAGCCCGCACCATTATATTGAGTTGAGCCAGATGGGTGCCGGGCTATCCTTCTTTGTTCAAGTGCTTCCGCTGCTGCTGCTGCTCCACAATTATTGTAACGTAACACTGAGCTAACAACCTTTCCAGGTCTTGCAGCTCCTGCTGTGTTTCATGCAGTTCATTGTTAGTTAAAACATATTTATACAAATCAAGAAGCCCTGCATTATGATTAAATTAGAAAGCTATTTATAGAGGGATTTAAATGAAGATGCAGCAATAGAAACTCTAACTAAGATCCTTGAATCCATGCTCCATTTCGAATAGTGAAAATTGGACAAAGTTTAAACCAAAAACTAAAGCAGTAGATAGAGATTAGCCTGAGATTGTAAAGCCTAAACTGATGAAACAAAGAAATGTAGTAATCCAATGCTTTTAGTGCCTAAAAGCAAAAGGAATGCCTCATATGACTTTTCACGAAAAGCAAAAGGAATCATTCTAAAAATTGGCGGCAGAGATCATAGGTGGCTTTATTTCTGCCATCAGATATTCATTTAGTGATTTCGATCAAATCATGTTGTCGATTGCTCGTCAAAATGCAATCCATATGCCAGACTAAATTAGAATGATAAAACTTATTGCAGAAGCAATCACCAAAGGAATCATGTTGCATGTGTATATGAGAAATGGAAGATGGGGGAAGCCTTGTCATGCAAACAAAACAAAACAAAATTATTATTGCAAAATGACATGCTTGAATTCAGACCTTGGATCGATTGAGGAACTTGAAGAGGAAGTCTTGTCATTGGGATGCCGCAACTCCTCTCCATATGTGATTTCTCAGTTTCTTTGATGGAACATTTGGAAAGATCATCTGCCACCTCCACAGAATTCTGGACTGAGTTGTCAGAATATAACACACATGGCCTGCACACACAAGAAAGTATGAAAGTATCCCACAGTAGAGGCAACAAATGAAAGATGCACGGAATCACAATATATAGAAAATTCAAAAAGATAGCAAAACTCATACTGGTGGGATACCTTGGTAATGATGCATGCTGCCTTTCAGGTGGAGGTACAGCTACACCATTTCCATAGTGCTCCTCAAGATAGGCAAACTGTTTCTTAAAATGGTCCACGGCACTGCAGAACATAAACTAATATAACTTACCATAGAAGAAACTTGCACATCTCTACAACAAAATCAAACTCAATATGAAGTCTGTTTTAGCTTTCATTGACAAATTGTTCTATAAATAGAAAAGCAGAAAACTCTGGCATTCAAAATTAAATCTGACTATCAAGAGTAACCTAAGAAATATAGATATAATTTACCTACAGGTTTATCTCAAAAATAAATAAATAATTTACCTTCAGGTTGGAAGAAGAAACATGAAAATATTCCCAACATAACATACAAGGAGAAAATGGACCATGCTAATCAAGGAGGGAACATATGTTGAAGAAGAACCAAAAAAAGAAAACTTCTCCTTAAAGCAGGGGAAATTTATACGATGTTCCAAAATAAACAGGAGATCAGTAGTTCCATAGGACAATACCTTGGATACATAAAGCTTGTTGGCTCTGAGCCTTCCAGGTATTCTTTCAGCATTTTAGGATGGTACTCAAGAATCTCTCTGTAAATAAATTCTCTTACATCTTCCTTTGTTATCCTTCTCCTCTCAAACTCAAATTCCATCTTGGTAACTGGTTGAGCAGAAGGCTCTCTTTCAACCTTGGCCAAGCCCTTAAAATATGGATCTGCAAGGGCCTAATAACACACACAATAAGGTTGCTCTGTAAAAGGAACTAAAGCATTATAGTAAAGTAACAATGACGAAGCACAATGGTTACCTCTTCAGCAGTAGGTCTATCCTTAGGTTCAAATGCCAACATTTTCTCAAGAAGTCGGAGTGCAAGTGGATCTGCATTAGGAAACTTCTGGGAGAAAGGAATGGCCTTCTTTTTCCTCATGCTGCTCAAGTATCTTCGAGCTTTTTCATTGCGCACCTGTTGACATTTGGTGAGAAATATTGAAAAAGGGGCACGAATGGAGATGCACAAAGATGATACAACATTCAGTTTGGAATAGGTTAACCAGCTTATAAGAGCATACAGACCCTCGCAATGGCTTCAGGAGATGGTGTACCCAACAGATCAGTCATCAGATCCAATTGATGGACGACATTCTTCCCAGGGAAAAGAGGTTTCCCTGTTAAAAGTTCTGCAAAGATGCACCCAATGCTCCATATATCAATTGCTGGTGTGTACTGGAAAGAGAAAAAAAGAAAAGAAAGAAAGAAAGTCACAATAGTTGATAGAAGAAAAGTCAGTGGACAAGAGATACTTAAGAGTACAAGGCTACTTAGTATCTGTGCACCAGCACGTGTCTATGCCTGCAATAAAAATAGATTTTAGTTTGGGTTGACGAATTGTTACCGTTACTAGTCAAATTGTTGATGAAGTAATAAAATTGGCAAATAAGCAATGTATAGTAAACATACTAATGCTATATATTATGAAAAATGACGCCAGAAAATAGGCTCAGAAAATCAGCAAAAAACTTCTATACATGAGGTAGGGGTAATCAACACAGCCTGTGAAATTAAACGAACAAACCAATACGTCCTATGGTTTCTTTCAAGACAAGACAAAACAAAAG